GCCTTCCTTTCTACCTCCAAGTCCGCCTCCAGCTTCACCTCAGCCTTCGCCTTCCACTCGACAATGATCTGTACATGTTTCCCTGTAACATGGTTTTTGCTTCAGTCTTCGCCTCCACCGCTACTTTCACTTTCGTCTCCCCCTGCACCTTTGCACCCACTTTCTTCTCCGCCAACGCCTTCGCCTCCACCTTCACCTTCCCCTTGGACTTCCTCTCCAAAATATATTATATCTTTCCCTTTTGCCTTCGCCTCCACCGCCACCTTACCCTGAGACTCCGCCTTCGCGCCTATCTCCGCCGTCGCTTTCGTCCTCACCGCCGACTCCGAGGCCTTCCTCTTCCTTTCTACCTATGGCTTCTTGCACGCCCGCGCTGTGCCGACCCGCATCTCCGCTGTCATCCGAGCCAGATCCGACAAACACCCAACCTGCGGCGCGAAATGGCCAGATAACCGCGACGTAAACGCAGCCGGTCACCCGTTTCGCTTTGCACCGTTATTTCGCAATGATAACGAGCAATCACCAGCCGTGACTGGCTTCCGCTGCGGTGACGCCGCCTCGGAGACACCTCTGCCGCCTGCGGCCGAGCCGCGTGCAGGTGCACTTGCAAACCTTCGCCCGCGCTGCCCTGCATTTGCATGGAAATTAAACTCCCAATAAACTGAATACAACGTTGCTTAATGAGCATGAATATTGCACGCATGCACCCTAATGCCCTTGTGACTGCGTGTTATCGGTAAATTCCGCCGCTTGTTAAATACATTTATCAGCGGAACACGAGTTCGGGTGTAATCCAGGCGGCGGCGGCGGCGGCTGCAAAGGGGCGACGGACGAGAAGGGGCGGGGGCGGGCGGAGAGGCGGCGGTGGGAACAAGCAGAGCAACAGCGCTCGAATTCACTCGCGAGCGATGTTAGTGGTGCTGCCAAAGAGTGCAGCATCAACGGGCTCTGCTGTTCTCATGTGAGCGCGCTCGAAATTGGTCACCTGTTCTGGTTGTGGTCAATGTTTTCGAGATGAGTAGTGCAGATCTATAATGTTATTTGTGTGGCGTTCATCTTATTTCTCGGTGCACCGTTTGATGTATATCCGTTGTGATGTCGAGTTATTTTGATGTGAATATTATAATCAGTGAGGTACAGTTAGTGATGCGTGGGTAATTTTTTTCGGTGAACAAGTGTCAAGGAGTGACTCTGCGTAAGGATATAACTGGCGTGTCAATAGCCAAACCGTCGAGGCTATCCTAAATCTGTGAGTGGAATTTTTTGTTCAATGTCTTTCGAAATGACTTTTAAATTGTTCGAAAAATAATATGTTAGTAGAGAAAATAACATGTGAGTGATGGAAGCTTTGGCGTATAAATCAGGAAATAGGTGTAAAATGTAATGTTCTATCTTTGTTGATACAAATTGTGGGTATTGTATTTCTTGTTAGTCTTTGACCTTGGAAATTTTTTTGAAATGTTTACCGAAGACATTGAGAATACATATATGGAATACAGGGGTTCACGTCTAATTTATTAAACAAAATTAACTCTGGCTCCAAGCATTTAACGGTGTTTTCCAATACTTTTGGATATTTTTTATAGAAACAAAACTAGCACAGGGAAGGAGACGAGGCGTTTCATGCTAGTCGCATTTCTGAATAGAAACCTTGTCGCAATTATTCATTTAATGCATTAATAATATGTGGTCACGAGGTGAAATCATTTATAGAATTTACAATAACTACATTATTTATTCAAAGTACGAAGTACGACAACACTCATAACCACCTACACAATATATTAACATTTTATCTTCAAAGAACAATATTTTCCAGAATTGTTCCTATCTATTCTCATTTGAACGTACAAACGCACAAGAAGGAATTTAAAATTCTCCAAGTATTTAAGATGCTCTTTAAACTTCCTTTATAGTTTGTTATTATATCAAAAAATAATTGCAGGAAGAACATGGTCGATATTAATGGACAACTCTTAAACTTCTTAAAAAATTTGTAATGATGCGTTGAAAGTCACTGCACCTCTCCGACATGAGAGTACATGAAACTGTTTTTGTTCAAATTGGTGTGTTGGTGAACACATATTCTTTCCAACACATTCTGTATCTCCCATAGATGACTGACACATCAATTGACGCACGAGATAGAAAAGTAATTAATGCATATTTTTAAAATGCAAATATTAGAAAGTGAAAAAGTGTAATTTTTAATCAAAACGTGATCGATTCAATCAACGTGGCACAGAATTAAAATTTGATACACTCGCTCATGAATTTTTTCTAGAAGCGACATTGGACACTAGAGTTTTCATTAAACTAAGACTTGCAAGAGAAAAAACTCGTTCCCGGTGACACGAAGAGTACTAACTAGGTCTTCGCAAATATTACCTTCGGCCAAAGGCTGATAAAAAACAAACTTTTTTAAGTATAATTTTATATCTTATTATTTGAATGACAGCAAATTAGAGGTGGAATTTATTCTCTACATTGTCATAAGCTCTTCGACCATCATTGGAATTTGTTTTGATGAAATCAGTTCCCAATGTCAGAACACAGTCATAAATGAGTCTATCCATCAACAAAATATCCCAACTCGTCAGTTGGAATTTGTCTGTTCTGTCCATAGCATGAAATTAATGAAGACTCTTACATTGTCAAATCTGTTTATTAGTTTCAATATTCTCACATCGGTCAATTTGCCACAACCCCTCGAATCAGAGCTATCCTAGAATTTGGTCACATCAATCAACGGAGAGATAACCCTAAAATCGATCACTTCTCAGTGTTTCATCATCCGTTAAATGTCAGGATTTTGTCCTCTCGCAGTCTCGTTACGAAGAGATTTATAGAGGCAAAATAGCTTTGAAGGGGTGAGTACACAAACGGTCAGGCCGTTCCGAAATGCAGGGAGAGAAATACGCGTGAATGTGAATCACGATCTAATTGACTGAGTATTTGAGACAGTAAACTGCTCGGTATAACAGTGGAATATTATGACAACATTTTCTGTTGTAAGATGTAAATGTTTCGGCCGAGAATGTTCTATGTTTTCATTTTGCTTGTTTGGAGATATTTATACTTAGAGATATAAAATTCTTCTTCTTCAACAACAGAACTGTTAGGTATTATTTATAACAAATATAATAAACGTACCTCCAAGAAAACGAATGAATTATAATTAATATTTTATTTATTTTTCATATGGATAAGCATAATACTTTTCATAAGTTTAGCATAAGTCGCAAAACTTACAAATTAGTTAAATATATAAATATATTTCTAAGCAACTAGATACAAGACATGTCAATTACGCGTCAGAACGATTTTCATAGCAGTGTACTTTATAATCAAATGAATGAAAGTTTAAATGGTAAAATTCAAACCATTTTATTAATGAAATAATATTATTAAAGATTACGTTATTTATGCAATATTATTCATTTTCTTCTCAAAATTATTGAGCGAAAAAAAAGACCTCACCACGCCAAATATTCTGCTATTATAATTGTAATTGCTTACATTTTCCCATCTACTGAAAAATTGACCATTTCAACGGAACTTGTACTTATTCAAGTTTTAACATTATGTAATTTTATTAGTTCCAGGAAATAAATTTTCGCTGATAAACGTTTATAGTTATGAATCGAGTTAACAACAACAGACACTTGAGATTTACATTTTTGCGGGAATCTTACATTTTCTTGCATTTCGAATTATTGGTTTGTGTATCTGAGATGACTACATTGGGAGTCACAAAACTAATGTTGCAAACGAGTTTATCACAGCACTTCACTGTCAGATTATCAAAATAATATTTTACTCATTGGTTAAAATATTAAAATGGGGATCAGAAAAATGTGTATGAAGATTTTAAAACGGCATCTGAAAACGTACGACTCCCAACGCGTGGAAACGTGAAGTAGAATAAGAGTAGTTATTGGTGGTAGCAGGTCATTCAAGTGAAATGGTTTAGCAGATGACGATTACAAAATAACTCTGAATAAATTTTTGAAAACAAACTGAGTAAGAAAGAAAAAATCATGTCCTGTAAGCTGAAACTCAAAAGTGAAATGATAACCCAGGGAACTAAAGATATTCCTGCTCCTCCAAGTATTGAGAAGGGATTATCCACTGATCGATCTGCCTCAAGTGGCGAGTGGAGGAAGGAGCGAAACGAAATCGCTCTTGGTGACTCCTTTGGCAGCCCCCGGCGCCCCACACGCCCGCATCACCCCGTCCATCGCCCTGTGCGCCCCCTGCTTCACCTGAGCTCTCGCTCTTACCCCACCAATCTCTCCGGCTTACACCCTCGCCCACGCCCTCGCTCTCAACCTTGCTTCAGCTCTCACCCATTCCCTCGCCTCAGCTCTCGCTTCCGATCTTTCCCTATGTCCTGATCTCACACTCGCTCCCGCTCTCGCCCACCCTCCAGCACTGGTTGTTGCTCTTGTTCTTGCTTTGTCCTTGATCCTTGCACTTTGCAGTGCGACTCGATTCGTCTTCTCCAGAGGAACGGAATAGCTAATTCACACATTGATTGCTTTATACTAAATGACCTTTAATCTCCCCAACATGCGTTTTTCAAATATAAAACGTTCAATAATTCTTTTTTCGAGAATTCTCTTAGAATATTCTAGAAGGATTAAAAGAAGGTCAGTTCCGCACCAGACGATCGCGTCGCACCCAATGACACTTCGCGTGCTATGGGTTGGGTTGCAAGAGTACTTACGTGACTTTATCTCAATTCAGGGACACATTGTCACAGACACATGGACACACACGTTACCCGATTACTGCATATATATTTGTCAAATTTAAATGTAGTGTCTCTTCAAGGTCACGAGCTGTAAAGTGTTAGGAACACTGTCATTCAATCAGGAATTTCAATACCAAAAATTTAAGTCGTATCGCTCGTGACGTTGAGAAGAGATTACATTTAAATCGGACAATGTAATGTATGCGATGAAGGCTTCGTTTTCGCAATGCCCGGGTGTACTCACCGAGGATGCCGAGTCGGAAGTTGAAGGTGGCGACGATGACGTGGCCAAAGGAGGCAAGCACGGAGCCGTCGTAGGGGTTGCCCGAGTTCCACTCGAAGGATTCCCCGTGCACGAACACCAGCACAGCGTAGGGCGCCTCCAACCCGCGGTTGCCTGCGCACACACAACAACGTCAGATGGGGAACTCATGCGCCTGAACGGAACATGTGGACTAATGGATTCCTGGGTCGCCGACTACTTTGGTTATTCGTCTCTTACCTGTAGTGCACGTTATACCTCTGAAGGTGGCGGTGTTTGTCTATCGCTGGATCGCGAGATCCAGCGCCGACCTACACGTCCGCTTGAGAAGTTTCTTCCTCCAGCTGGGGGCCGCCCAACCATGACGAGCTCTAACCTCCCGTAATGCGTGGTCGTGTAATGTATGTAAGTGTGAGTGTAAGGGAAGAGGAGAAATCCAGGATGAGGAAGGAATGTTCGCGTGTGTAAGGGTACCGCTCCGGAATTCCATAGTGTTGGTAAAACTAAAAACAATAAACTAGAGACCAGAGCAGCCGACCGCTATTTGCCAGACAGTGGTTGATTGATTGACAATTCTGAGCGCGTCAACTGCTAAGGTCATTAGTCCCGTGAGTGTAGTGTATGTATATTAATGCGGAAGAGGATAGTTATTTTCTCCCGCTGGAAGAGACACGTTATATTTAATACGCGAGATGCACACAAATAACTGACTGATAATACCATATTATAATGTGATAATACCTATATTATAATATGATAATATCACAGAGTATATGAGCATGAATAGCAGGTTTTTATCTTTATAATTGTATTGACTAGATTACTCTCTGTGATTAATACTAATATTTGGTATTTTAGAAATTACAGAATCAAATCCCGACTGTTAAATCAACTGTTCGTCTATAACGAGTAAATCATTCTATTTGGATCACCTTCACTCTTTATGCCGATTGCACCGTACAAATTGTTCATTAGTAGAAAACGATTTACGATAGTTTGCTCACAAACGTGTTAGAAAGTCTTCAAGGTTGGAAACAGAACAAACATGTTTATACATGAAAATGAAAACAAGATTTTGTCAAATTTGTTTACATGTCGTATGATGTTGTACTGTTCTTCATTTGGAATATTCTTCATTATAAATATCTTTGCGATTGTTTTCGTGGAGTTTTCAATAGGTTTTGTGTTCCTTGAATAGTTTTTTAGTACATGGGGTGATCTCCTATTTATACCAATACGTACTAACAGATCTAAAAGCAACAGCAATGTTTAAAGATCGAGCATATTGCTTACGTATATCGAGAGGTGATTTGAGAAATGATGTTCTCTATGCCCACTCAGTTGGTTTTCGAAACTTAGATAGCAGTACGAATTGTTTTAAATAAGACCAGATTAATTAAAAGTAAATAAAAGCCACATCGTGATGCTCAGTGCAGTTATATACAGTTGTTTGACAATACATTGTCGTCTTCATAACGTGAATCGGCAAAACATTTGTCAATATGATTAGTTATACAAAAATTTTGCATATACAGTGCATGCAAACATTGCATATAAATCAAATGATTATTATTAAATTGTAAATCAAAGACAATGAAGAATTCCCATTCAACATTTTCTATTTCACATAATATCTGCAAATGTGTGGGAAGGTATTAGACCATACCTAAATGAATAGACCAAAGAGTAAACAATTGTACAACAACATTGTTGGTATATTTAATAAATGAAAATTTAGGAGCATTTATATCTTTATATTTTAGTGCACTTTTAAAGCCATTGTTTTTAAGCTTTGTAATTTTTCCTCTGCACTCTTTGCAACTACTATATGACTTCACGAATAGCAAAATATATTATCTTTATTTGCGAAATCCGAAAACAAAACATAAATATAATTCCTTCATTACCTAACCATCGAGGTCTTTTACTTTCGTTTATTTATTGCTTGCTACTTGTTCTCAAAACAATGAATATAATGAGAGGCGAATTTCAATTTTGTATTTTATTTATCAAGGCAACGGCAATACTCAGATGTTACAGTCTAAAAATCTGACCAAGAATTCAAAATTATAAACTTGATATCCTATTATTCAAACAGTCAATAAAGGGTTTACATAATGGTCAGAGAGGAAATTAAACTCGTCTTTCGTTATAATCATGATGCAATGATACAAGTAGAAAAACTGCTCTGAACAAGGCAAGGAAATATTACTAACAAGCTCAATTATTTAGAAAAATGAAATGTAGTCATTGTAATTTTTCATGCTAAAAAACCCTCAATGATGAGACAAATTACAATGCAAATATAATTGACTAGCTCTTTACTTCCAATTTCCTTTACATTCCAGCATATTTTGTGGATCACAAAACTCTTAAATACTGAACAAAATTACGAATTTATAATCGGGAGGATGGTGAACCAATGAGAATTAAAACCTCAACGGTCCGCTGACCATGCGCAAAAAATTGTTCAGTAACGTTCACTTCATCTCCGCAACTGGACCATTCCCGTTGGTTCGATTAAATTTCGCTTCCGCACTACACCATTGGATTAAATGTTGCTACCACAAACTGTGCGAAAAATCTGTACAGTGGAGAATTACGCTACTAATCTCATCATAAACCGATCGTCAAAAAAGACTCAAAACGTCAACAATGTGCGAATCGATTAGAATGCCAAAGAGCTACCTGCCGTATGAGAATGTTTCAACTGCGTCAGTATTTTCAAAAAACGGAAATTTCGTTTATGAATATTCGATACCCAGAAATTGAAGAAGGTCCACAAAAATGAATCGTGTGAATGAAAATAACGTGAATTATATAAGCATTTACAAGAATATATTGGTTTTGTTATCGAGTCAGCAAATAGTGGCTTTTACAATTGATACACTTGAGGTGTCGAAATATCAACCTTTTTTATAGTTAGAAACACACAAAATAATGACGATTAAAATATGTAATTTAATCGTGTTTAAGACGGTAAGAAACAACTGATTGTATTAAAGATTATAAAGGATACGTTTTAGCAGGCTAAGAAAGCAAGTGAAAAACTCAAGCTCCTCGGATTCCGAGGGTGTGACATTGACGAAATATATTATAGAGTTGGAAAAATAAAATATCCTAACCTCATGTGTCTATTTTAATTATTTATTAAACCTTTGGGCTACTAACAATTTAGAAACACATTAGCTCTTCGAAGCTCAGTTAATGACGTATTCGTGATAAGCGTACCTCTTCAACAAAGACGAGCCATTAAAACAACCTGGCTCCAAATGAACTCAAGCAGCAAGGCATTAGCATTTACCGTTAAAGACTTCCAGTCCAGTCATTTGCCGTCGGTGGACGCGCAATCTGGCGGCATTCGCCTCGCAACTTGCCTCAGTGGGGCCGCGGTGCAACCTGATGGCGGCCCGAAAACTTGCCAACTCGAGTCGCAAGGGATACTTCTTTATCGGGTGGTCGCCCCCGCACGCCCTGGTCAATGCCCGTAGCATGTTAATGTTGGCGGTGGCCCCGCAGGACGGGCGCCGAAGTTGTGCCAGTTGGGCACCATTCACGTGGCTGCTGCCCGCCGCTCCCCGCCGCTTTCCATTGCTCCCCGCCACTCCCCACAGCTCTCCGCCGCGCCCTTCGAAATCCGCCGCCCCCGCGCTCCCCCGCTCACTTGGCGCTTTCCCGACGGATTCCCCACCACACCCCTTATTCTCGCCGTTCTCCGCCTATTCCGCTCCCCTGCCGATACTTTCCGCCGTTTTTCCGCGACTCTTGCTCTCCCGCCACTCTCCTCTGCAATCCAGCGCTCTTCGCCGCTCCCCCATCCTATGTCGCTCCTCCGTCCACTGCGCTTTTTTGCCACTCACCCCACACTTTCCACCGCTCCCCCGACGCACCACTCTCCGCTTCTCGCCATATTCCGCGTCGTTCTCGCGTGCCGGTCTATCCGCACGCTCTCCTGCCACACTCTCGCGTGCCCGCTCTCGCCTACCACTCTTCCGTGTCGCCTCCCTGCCACTACTCCGTCTGCGCTCTCCCTACCCACTCTCCGTGCCGCTTCTCCCTGCCACTCTCCGTGCCGCTCTCCTTGCCGCTCTCCCTGCCACACTTGCTCCGTTGCCGCTCTCCGCGTCTCACTCCGCGCTGGCTCTCACGTGCCGCTCTCCCTGGCCACTCTCCGTGCCGTTATTCTCCCTGCCACTTCCCGCTGCCGCTCTCCGTGCCGCTCTCCCTGCCACTCTCCGTGCCGCTCTCCGTGCCGCTCTCCGCGTCGCTCTCCGCGCCGCTCTCCGTGCCACACTCTCTCTGCCGTTCTCCGCCGCTCCACGCACTCGGGTCGATGGAGATCCCTGGCTGCCTCTGGTGAAGGGGTACGAGGTAATGATCCTTCGTATGGGAAGTTCAAGTTTCATGTTCCAGCGGTGACGTTTTCCATTAGACGTTTTTAGAAGACTATAAATGCTGGCTGCTTTGATCCGTAATTTTAATGATTTGGTCACTTCGATGTTTGAAAACAGCCAGTTTTTTGGCCGATATATTATTATGATCGATGTTTTTTTAAATTTTGAATGTAGATGTTTTGAGACAGTAGCCGAGTTTCGACTTTTAACTACGGGTGACCGTAGTTGACGCGCCCTGACCAGAACGAATTTCTAAGAATAAACGATACAAGCTTCTTGAGGCAGGTAGAGGGATAAAAATGATAACTTTTTGCTTTCATATAACGAAATTACACGTGTGATATTTGACTATTTTTTAGGCAACTTAATTTGGTCAGGTGTTAAGCAGGCCACGACCTCACGCTATCAGGGAAATTTTATGTACCTCCTGAAAGTTTTTGCAAACTGTTTGCCAAATAATCAAGAGCAAATATCAAATCATGTATAAATGCATATAAATTCGATGTATGGAATTTCCCTTTGTTTATATTCATTGAAACAATGTAATAATCTTCTACTCTTTGCATGCCCTAGAAGCTTGTAACGTTTATTCTTAGATATCCTGCGCTCTATCGCGACCGGTTTTGTTCGCACGTCGCCCCCTCGAAATCACCGTGCGGCTGCGGCAGCGACGGAGTCTCATGCTGAGGAGATGTAGCGGTGGGGAAACATCAACGCCCAACTTCGGCCATTCGGGCCGGG